ATTCATCACCCTACCATGATCCTGGTCTTTGCATCCTAAAAGATCAGCAAAAGCAAATGAAATGAAAGACAAGAGAAAAAAAACGGTTAAAATAAACCATGCTACTTATGAACAGCGAAATCTCCATTACCAAACCTTTTCTACTGTGCTCTCTTCACACATACAGAAAACATGCACACATACACACCTTCGTTATGATACACATATACATATTATTTGCCTATGCACTTCAGGATCACAATCAGCATCTTGGACGTTTGCTCCAGCTGAGAATACGATACTGTCTTCCTCTAGTGATTAACCCTTAACTTGCTACTGGTAATGAGAGGGTGGGGTAATGACCCTCATGACATCTTGAGAAGCACACAAAGTTTAAACTTCATTATCATCCCAAAGCTAGCCACTTCTTTTCAGTGGAGTGTTGACCAAGCATTATAGGGAAGGTTTTTGTCATCGATTTCCTGGACTCGGATGATAAGAGTGACTGTATCCAGAAAGACTGGTGGGGGGGAGGGGAGCATAAGGCAGTCAGTTGAAATAAAAGAAATGAAAGCATAAGTAGCCTGAGTAATCTACGAGCTGGCCAGTCCCTGAATAAATCAAGAGGTAGTTTTTGCATTAAGGAATTAAAAGTGTCATTTCCAACTTATGATCGCTGCAAATATTGGATTCTACTCAGGTTTGGTTTTAAGAGCACATAAAGTAAGCCAGAATTAAATGGAAGGCTAAGAGAACATCACCTCTTCTGAACTGCGTCCAAATGTCAGTGGCAAATAAGATGTTGGTGTTTGTGCAGAAATCGTTTGACCTCCCTGTGCTGGTTAAAACTCTAGCCAGAAAAACTGATGCTATAATGCTGGGAGCAAGAGCCGCCAATGGGAAGACAGATGAGTGAAGAAAAGAGAGGGCATGTTTATGTTGAAAGCTAAACATCACATCAACTTTTCTGTACTACTTTGGAACTCCGAAAAGTCAGCATGCATACGAAATGTATTTTGAAGCTTTTAAGTGTAGGTTAATATGTTCCATGTGCTAGTTTGTGTTTTGAAAGGATACTGGAAGAAGTAAGCCATTATTAAAAAGTACTTATGAAAAACAAATACCTCCAAATCTCTTCATTAAATTATAAATGACAAACAAATTAATTTGGCTTTAGACAGTCAAAGGGAAATTGTTTATCTTTTTCCCCAACCTTCCGCTGCCAGAAACACACCACACTGTTTGTGATACGCACTTCATCTTTGTAGAAGAAGCCAAATGCAATTTTGTGAACACAAGATGCTATGGAGGGAGGAACTGGAAGCTGCTGAGAGAAAAGGCTACAAGCAACAGCACTTGGAGTGCCAACACAAGCCACAGGTCCCTAAGCCTGGCTGCTTTCAAGAGCTCTGAGAAGTCTCTTCTCCATGTACATCCCCGACTTTGCTATAACCACTCGGATCCGCAGAGTGGAAGAGGTAGGAGACTGTCACCACATTCCAGGCTCAAGAAATTCTGAGAGGCCACAGTAGAGTTCTGTTTTGCACTTTCAGTAATCCAGCTGAAAAGGTGGCTTACCCTCAACCCCATAAAGTACATAAATAAAACTAAAGAACCCCATTTGAGGATACAGATAAATCATAAGAACCCGAGGCATATTCAGACAGCAATGGTGAACAGCAGCTAGTAGGGCCTCCATACTGAATGAAGAGGCATGGAGGGGCTGACAAGTGTGGCCACTTTCCATGCAAACAAAACATGAGTTGCCAATCAGTCTTCCAAAATATTGGCATGTATCCCTTCTACAAACATATGCATTCTCAGCATTGTGTTTGTGCCTAACTAACAGAATTATTTCATTTAGACCCTATTAGTGACCATCAAATGTGCTTTTATGAAATAAAGCGAGGAAAGTCTAGAGGCAATCTATGATGGTCTTCACGGGACAAAGTTCTGTCCCCAAGTTGACATGGTCACTATTTTATTTTCTCAGTCCTCTGGCTATCTTTGAAATGAAACATAGGGCTAAATGATACATTTGTTCTCTGCTTCAGACTGGATGCAATTGATTTTAACCGACTAAATGATCTGATCTCTGCCAAGGATTTTATTTCATTAAGAAAATGATATTAAGGAGCATCTGAGATCATGGAGCAGACTAAACATAATGCCAGAGGAGTTCTGAGAATGTGCCACAGTGAAGGTTTGATTATTTGCAGATGGACTACGGAAAAGAAAAAAAAAGGCAGAAAAATCAGGTCTCAGGGGCAAGCCTAACCAATCCTGGTGCCATTGCAGCCTGCATCACAGCACAAAGCCAAGGAAACAACTCATCTGTTATGCTACAATGCCTTTTTTAAAGTAGTAATCACTTTTTTTTCCCTAGAAGGTAATATTTAACTGCCACTATGCAAAACAAAGGGGCAAAGGGAAATGTTGGTACCACAATAGGCTCTAACATGTCAACTGTCACTCCAGACACGATTTGGCTGGTAGTCAGGCATTCACAAAAAAAAATTAAATCAATCTCCTTTGGAAAAAGGCAATTGTTTGATACCCACAACAATTGGTGTAGGATCAATCAGTGGACATGAGATCAATTAAAACCAGCTTAAGTTTGTGAAGAGGGACAATTCACACAACTTGAGTCAGATCTCTCTTCATTTCAGTGTTCTCACAATACAGTCCTTAAGCTTCCTTGCAGGGCAGAAAGGCTACTATGACCCTGCACTGTCTAGCCAGCCTTCAAGTAGTTCCACTTTTAATTAAAAACACAGTGCGCCCTTTGTTGGCACAGATAGTATGGTCACTTTAAAAAACTGTAGTTATTCTAGGCATAAACTTGGGATTCAGAAAAAGACATCTGTTGAGGGAGAGAAGAAAGCCAGAAACGCACTTTGATAGGCATTTTTAAAACAGTCGTACCGATCGACATGTACTTGAAAAGCCTTCAAACTTTGTGAAATGACAAGGTTGATTTGGCACCAGTTACCCGCTGCATGCTTTCTAACCGGGTTTTTTTTAATGTTAGAGAGCTTGGGACTGTAGATGGCAATTGCTACAAGTGATTTTGCTAAAGCAAGCTCTGAAACAAAATAGATTCTGACTCGGATACCCCAGAAGCAGAGCACAGGCAGAGAGAGAGCCTCAGAGATAGCCCCTAGAGGAGAAATAAATGCATGCAGTATCACTTTTGGCCGCAGGAGTGCTGCAATTCCCTTCAGCTCAGCATTTAAGTTCTCAGACAATGTGCTTAATTCTTCACCACTCAGCCACAGGGGCAGCCGCGTGAATCAGAAATCCAGTCACTGAATTAGTAAGCTACATAATAATCAAGAATGTGCCGAGGAGCTTCAGGCACTTCTGTATGTTGCAAATGTTGTGCACTTCGATGTCTTCAATGCAACTGATTGCAATTCCAGTTTTCAAAAGTGTGTGTATGGGGGGTAGCTTCTCCAAACTCTTTGGAACAGAGTATAATAAAAATTTGCCAGCTCCACCAAAGAATGCCTAGAAATATAATAACAGCATGGAGAAAGGAAGCCATCGGAAGAGGTCAGGTGGAGAGCCACTTTTCAAAAACAGGTATCACAGCATGAAACTCTTACAGCCTTTGGGGAGGGGCTTCTCCCTTACATTTTTTATATGCAGTAATCTCTGAAAATAAGAACTTTTTCTTATTTTCCAAATGTCAGAAATGAGGTAGATAAATTAAAGGCATGGGGTTGGTCATGTGTGTCCCTTTTTAATAAGCCAGATATACATATCAACAACTAAAATCTGGTTCTTCAATAGTCACACATCATCAGTGACCCCAAGATTTGCTCTGGAACAGGCCAAGCTCTTCAGTTCACGAGGACAGCTTAATGCCCCCCAAAATGTCATTAATAACAACAACAATAGTGACAATAATATAAATGCCTTCAAAACTAGCTGCAGGGCCAGAGTTCTTATCCTACCAGAAATTGAGACGTTTATAACCCGCAAAAACAAAAATCAAGGTCTACAAACGTCATGAGAGATTCTAACTGCATAAAAGACCAAACTGACTCTCCTCGGCTACTAACAAGAAGCTGCTGCGTGAGGAGAACACTACGCTGGTACTTCATCGCTATGCCTGTGTGGTTTATGTTTAAGTCCCTCCAGAGGACTACGTTGTATCTGACTGCACATGTTCCAAAATGCATTTGGCTCAGCCACCGCCCCCAGAAGGACTGGAAGACAGGAATACAGAAATATGAGCACACTACAGTCGAATTCTCTGCAATCTTTTCTGGAGGCTTCCATCTGCCTCCACAGCTCACACACGTGAAGGAGAAGCAAGCATGTAAAAAGCCAAGTGAATTTCACACTGAGGACAAAAACCCTTCTCCGAAGTCGCCACTTTGAGAAAGCAAACAAACCAGGCAGCGTTGGTCTATTTCTAAAAACATTCGCGCTGCAGGGGAGAACTCCGGAGAAAGCAGGCGCAGGAGTTGCTACTTAATTCATTAAGTTCCCATCTCCTCTCGGGTTCCAGAAAGGGAGAACAATGTTGCTCTTTCCTTGGCAACTCAGGTTCTACGGAACAACTTGACGTTCCTCCCCAAAACCGCCCCCACCCCCATACACACACCCCGTGCCAGACCATTTCTAAAGCTATCTGGGGCAGGATATAGGGCGCACGTGGGTTGGGAAATTAAACACACTTGGACTTCGAGGAAGATGGTTAAGAAGACAAAAGGAGAAAACTAGAAAAAAATGGATGCCACGTAAGAAATATGATCTAAGGAAGAGTTCAAGAGAGACGGCATGGATGAGTCCCGGAGCGCTTGCGGGAGAGAAGCCCAGCTCACCCGACTCTGCCGTGCCTACCAGGGGCGGGAGAAAGCCTTCTGCCAAGCACTGAGACCCCTGAGAGTGGGCGGTTGTAGCCCACGCGAGAACTGGGGTTCATAGCACAGCCCTGTCCCCCAAGTCCCCAAAGTCTAGATATGAACGAGCACTCCCAACATCCCCACCCACTCAGGAACCCCACGCACCTTGGGCCGAGAGCGACCCACCTCGCTTATTGCGCCTCCATCGGTTGCCTTGGCACTGGCTGTAATCCATACAGTTCAGAATGATGAGGGCAAAAGAGAAGAGGCAAAAACGCATCTGGACGGTCGGGCTGGGGAGAGACGCCTCTCAAAGTCGAGGAAACGCGGGGCTCCTACGAGGAGACAGTGTGGGTCGCGCTCCTGGGGAGGACTCCCAGATCGATGCCACTGGCCCTGGAGTTGCAATGGTCAGTTTGGCTCGCCGCCGCCGAGCATCCCTCCCTCCGCGTTGAACCTGGGAGACTGGGGGAAAAGAGAAGCAGGGTAGACAGGGCACCAAGAGAACCCAGAGGAGGTACCTGTACCTTCGCGCCTCTCGGTTTAAAGAAAGGGGGGAGGGAGGACGCGAACTCACTGGCACGAGCCACGGAGCAGTTTAACTAACGCAGATGGCACAGCTGCGTGCAACTAGGAGAGGAAGGTGATTACAATCAGTGAATTAGCAACCTCCGCGGCTCAGTGGCTTCTGACCCTGGGGAAAGGGCGTTGTGCGGGCTCTGCGGAAGAAAGGGCTCTCTCTTCCGAGCGCCCGAGCGAGCGCAGGGCTTTAAAGGGGCGCTCTGGTGCCCCTCGCACCCCGGGTTGGGCTCTCCCCGCGCCGCCGCTGCACCAGGTGTGGATCGCCTACCGTGCGCGCGTGTCTCGGGCTGCACGGCGGCGTGCCTAGGCGCGGCGCTCCATCCCAGGCTCGGGAAGCGAGCCGGGCTGTTTGGTCAGCACGTGGGCTCGGGAAGAAAAAAAAAGTTTGCCAACACCCGCCGGGAGCTCTTGGCAGCCCTGGGATCCCGCCGGCTGCAGAAAGGTCCGCGGACCCCGAGGGTCCACGGGGCTGGCGGCGCCTGGCAGGAGCGCGCAGCTGGGCGAGCGCGACCGCAAGCGCTGGGATGCTGGGTCTCCGCCTGCCCGCGAGAGCGATTCCAGGGCGAGGGGCGTCCGCTGCTCTCCTCCTCTCGGTGTCCGGGTCCAGACGCTGCTCCCCGGGCTCTTTCCACCACCACTTCCCAGCTGAGGTTTCTCCCTGCCCGCGCTGGGGGAGACGGGACACTGCCCAGAGGCTGAAGGGATGTGGCCAGCGCACTTTCCGATGGAGAGATGCAGACAAGCTAAGGCTCGGGATGCTTCTATAAGTAGGTGGTGCTGTGCTCCAAGGCATCTAAAGCCAGGCTGCCTCAGAGTTCCTGGGTCCTAAAGCCAGAAACGCTCGCTCGGGTTTCCCTGAGGTCCTAAAGAGCACTGACAGCCTGCAGAGAAGCTTCGCGTAGGAAGAAATGCTCACCAGGCTTTCACAGAAGGATTGGCGAAACTGGACAGTACCTAGAGTGAGGGACAGGACCTGACCTTGCTGTTCATGACCAAGGCGTCCTCTCCGAAGCTCTGGGATCACCTCACCAGTACCCTTTCTCCGGAGAATCTGAGAAACTGAAGATGACTTCTCCCTGAGCTCCAGGCTGAGTCTGCTGCACATGATAAACAGAGTTTAAACTCCAGTCACTTTTTTTTTTAAAGAAGGCGCACCTCTGCCCTTTTGAAACTTTAAATCTCCGCCCTGCTCTGCAGTCAGACTTCCCCAGATCTGAGAGCAAGACTGAAATTAAAACCCACACACTCAGTGTAAGGGGTGAGGTCAGCGTTTCTCCTATCCTTCACCTTTCCCGCAACTCTTTTCTCTTGACTCTGTTTCCCCCCCCAAGAAATCTCACAAAGATGCGTGATGCTTTGCCATACTCAGAAAGACAAGTTTGTTTCCACTGACTTATGTTTCATTCTTAACCCTCGCCCGTCCTCTGTCTTCCAAGGTCTGAATTAAACTTTTAGATGCCCTGGATTTGAAAAATTACTTAGTACAGTATCCAGTGACTACAGTAGGTACCACCTGTTTCATCTAGTGAACTCCTCGGTCCTATATTCACTACTATTGGAAATAATGTATTTCCTTTTTGAGCAAAAGGTAGGTATTTATAATGCTAAATGCGGCAAGACGGGTGTCTCTTTAGACGTGTCCCCAGGCATATTATTGTGGCAGCTTTTTTAGTGGCTGTTGATTGGTTTTATTTTTGACTGGATTGTAGCCCAGGCCAACCTGGAACTCATCCTGGTAAAGCTGGCCTTGAACTCTAAATCCTTCTGCCTCCACCACCTAAGAGCTAGCATTACACACACATGCTACTAGCCCAAGCTCTAAAATAACTTTTTTATATCATTTCAATTCCCTTTTCTACACCTTTGGTTTCCTCACCTGCTCAGAAGAAGCATATGGAAATAACAGGGGTGTTATTAGCCACGCTTATTAAATGTTCCACTGTTGCCTATACACAGCAAGTTTACTGGCATCCCTGTTGCACGATGACATTCCTGTTCTCAGAATCCCGGTGCCTGAGAACACCTAAGTAAACCTGGTTTGAAAGTGATTGGTGCCATTTCACTGATGAGAAAATTGAGCCGGGATGCTTGCTCACAGAGTACAGACTTCTGACCAGACACATACTGAAAGAGGAGGTTACTTTGACCCAGCTTATTTCGTTTATTTAAAAGGTAATATTTATTTACTTTAGTTGTATGAGTGTTATGCCTGCGCGTAAGCAGGAAGACTGCCTGTGTTCCCCGTGGTGCCTTCCCAGGCCACAAGAGGGCGTCGCATCCCCAGAGACTGGAGGGAGACAGTTGTCGGCTGAAGTGTGGATGCTGGGAATGAAACCCCTGGCCCTCTGGAGGAGCACAATGGTGCTCTTAACTGTTAAGCCATCTCTCTATCCCTCTCCTTCACGCTTTGTCACAAAACTTGAAGATGCGTGGAAACAAGTCAGCATTCCTAGTTCCCTCTCCAGCGTGACAAACTCCACTCTCTCCCCCAACACACTCACATGAGCACACCGAAGCTGCTGTACTTATGAGGGTGAAATTCAAGGGAGGAAAAAAAATACTTTCCTCAATAAGCTCCCTGGATTCCAGGATAGCCCTGAAACGCATTTAAGGTTAATGAGCTTCTCAGTGTCCGTTGAAATGGACACAAACCCAGGTTCATCCAACACTGTTCTTCTGTTACATCAGGCAATTATCAGGGTCTCAGTTTCTTTGACAATATTTTCAGGAAAATAGATTAAGTTCTCTTTCATCTCTTCTAGTCTAAATTCCATTTTTGAGGAATTAGCTATGGGATCTAAAGAGTCTGAGAGCCAAATCTTCAGTGAATGGATTCTCCATAGGAAAGAGTTGTTATCATCCTGGATTAAATTTGCGAATTACTTTCAAGCTTACCCCTCCAATATTTCAGAATTTTACTCCTCAGTTTTGGCCCAGTTTACAACAGAAATATTATTTACCATGACAAATCTCAGGGTTCAATGCATGGGAATGGAACTTACCATGTCACGTTCTCAGCCTACGCTCAAATGTGTTTAATAATACAAAAATAGGCTCTGGAAGAGAAGAAGGTGACCATGTTCCTTTTGATGATGTCCTGGTCTCTTTCTTCTTTGTAAAGAATAGATAAGGACAGAACCTTAAAGTCTGTCACACATGTGATGTCCAAAGTCTCACGCTTCATTTCTGATGTAGACTGATCTATATAAAAAGCTTTTCCTTGGCCCTCACTGAGTACTGGTTTTGAGAACCTAAGATCGCTCTCACTTAAAAGAAAAATGCAGCCTCAGTGGATCTGAAACTGTTCTGGACTTTATTTCTGCGTCTTTGCTTCCTTTTATCCCTGGATTAGGATCTGCTGTTGAGCTCAGTCACTCCATTCTGGAGACTCAATGGACATTTTTCCTCTAACTAGGTTTATACAGAGGCTTCATTAAGGAGCTTTGTAAATAAGTGTGTGCCCCGAGTTTGTTTACAGAATGCACACTGATCAGGCCTGCTCCATGCCACTCACTCGTGACAGAAAGGCCCTTGGAAGCTGCTCAGTCTTGAATAACATTCTGAGTTTTGAGTAGACTCCCAGATATGAAAATATCCTTAATAAAATATGGGTGCTTATCGGCCAAATGAGTGTGTTTATGCGTGTTAGATTCTTATCTCTAATAGGCATCTCACGTGTGGTGGCGGCACACATCTTTAATCCCAGCACTCCACTCGGGAGGCAGAGGCAGGTGGTTCTCTGTGAGTTCAAGGTCAGCCTGGTCTACAGAGCAAGTGCCAGGGCAACCTCCAAAACACAGAGACACCCTGTCTCGGAAAGAAAGAAAGAGAGAGGGGGGGAGGGAGGGAGGAAAGAAGGAAAGGAAGAAAGACAAAGAAAGAAAAAAGAAAGGAAGAAAGGAAAGAAGGAAGGAAGACATCTACCTATCTATGTATCTATCTATCTATCTATGTATCTATATATCTATCTATCTATCTATCTACATATCTCCCCGGGTAGAAGGTTGTAGGAACACGAGTATGAGTTGACCTAGATGGCAAGCATTTTTTCTATCTTACTTTTATGAACATTCATTCAGAGAATTTAAATTTTCAGTTCTTGCAGAAGAGCATTATGTAAAAGGCAGCTCTCGCTCCTCCCTCCCCCAGGCAGCCTGTTCTCTTTCTTAGAGAGAGTTATTTTTGTATGCTTTTCCAAGTTTGGGGTAGACTTCCAATACTTCTAAGTATCTTAGCCATGCTTGTACTTGTCAATCAATATGTATATATTCTCACATATGAGAACGTATGTGTATTCACACATGTGTGTTCTTGCTTATGCCTCTTTTCATCCTAATCTCTCTTTGAGGAATTAGTTGGGTACTATAGTCACAAATTCATTCCACATCAGCTTGGTGTTCCTCCTTCGTTTCATGCAATGACATTCTTTTCCTTATACTTAGCCAGCTCCCTACCGATACACTGCCATTCTTTTTCTCTTTGTTTAAAAGCATCACTTCAATTGATTTTACATGATAAATTCCCCAAACTAGGAAAGCTGATTCAAACAGTTGTGCGAACTTTCATGTTCTCGCTCCCTCCCCACAACCGTGTGTGTGTGTGTGTGTGTGTGTGTCTCCCCACAACTGTGTGTGTGTGTGTTTGTGTGTGTGTGTGTGTGTGTGTATTTCCCACAATTGCCTTCAATAAAGTTCAATGACATTTACAGTATATGAAAACCCTTTCTCCAAAACAAAACAAGCAATTCACTTCTCAAATACGACTAGGCAAAGGTGACTTCAAAGTAAAGTTTTAATTAGCAATTTTTGGCTTCCTCCAGTATGTTTAGATCATTTCATTTTCTGTGAACTGAGTATACAATGTTTTCCTTTTCTATTGAATTCATGCTGTTTTTGATTTGTAGAATATAGCCTGTTAATATGTATTATATCTTACGATGTAATGTGTTTTCTTTTCAATTTTATCAACTCTTAACTGTGTTTTTTATGTACATCAGTATACAGAAAACTTTAATGTGCTTCGGTGGAATTTATCAACCTTACCCCCCATAGGTTACAGTTGATAGGACTGTTGTCAAACTTACCCTCTGTTACAACTGACAGAACTGTTGCCCATGGCAATTTCTTCACATTTTCATTCGGCAGAGGGCAGATACATAGTTGCCACAGTGTACAGAGAATGGTCATGATTGATCTCCTGTCTGGACAATAGAGACTAGGGTAGAACAGACTTGGCTTCTTCTGAATCTTGAGTATTTATGTTCACAGATTTGCTTGGATTTGGCACTGAGTCTTGTTTTTATTAGCTCACTGATTTAGAATCTCTTAATCGTTTATGTTATCAGATATTCAGAATCTCAGACTGAATTTTCCCACAGTGCTTTTATCCATTGTTGATATTTGTTAATGGTACAAGTACTATTACAGGCTGGAACAATTTTGGCATTCTGTGACATTGTGTCAATATTGATTATGTAAAACTTTCCTTTTAAATATGTTACATGTTTAAATATGTTGCATATGATAGTACATGTTTATTTTTTGTGTAGAGAAATTAAATTAATAAGAAAAATCTTCACCAAGGTCACAGATCAGCCCTTATCCAGCCAAATTTGCTGTTTTTAAAAGTCACATTACAATCATGTATATAAAGTTTTTAAAATGTGTAAATATTTGATTTGCCCAAAGCTAATTGTGTGTTCTGCCACTTGAGAACTTGCGTCCATGCTGACATGGTAACACCTATTTCTTGATTTTTGTTTTCCATCTCCTCAAAAAAAAAATACCCAGGAGGCTATATTGTGGATTTTAGAGGAAATCCAGATCAAACCAATTCAATCGAGAAAACTCAACATCTGATCTAGCGTCTGAATGCTATTTCCCTTATATAATCTTCTGTGCCCGCAACACTTTTGAACTAAAATAACGCATAAAACCTGATTTTCTTGTGTGTGACTGTAGCGTCAGAAGCAAATGGTACTGTGACATCCAGAGACCATTGAAGATTCTCAGGTATCTAAGACGTAGGTTCAGTTTTCACTGCTGTGAATACGGTGTCTTTTTCGCTCTTTGGACAATACCTAATCTGTTTGTGGTGTGGCAGAGATAAACAACAGCTAACATCCTCCCCAGAACTTTTCCGAGTCTCAGCATCCAAAGCAGACACACCTTTTCCAAACACCCATCTTGTCTTCTACGGCTAAAACAGTTTGTGCTAATGCTCAAGAGCAGGCTTGGGGTTCACCCGCAGCGAGCAAACAGTAACTTGTGGCGGGAATTTCCCATGCAATTTTTATTGTTCCTTTTTGCTTCCATCTTTATTTTAACATTTGGCATGGTTTTCTTTTTAATGTATTTTAATTGGTATTGTTAAATCTATTTCTAGAAGACACTACGTTGGACCAATGTGGGGAAATGTTTTTAAACATGATAGGAAAGTACATGCATTAGTCAGAA